CTCTTCGCATACGAACGCGCTGCATGGACAGATGAACATCTCAACCCTGCTCCGTCGATTGACGACTTCGAACTACCTGAAGTTGAAGGCGGAAATGCGAAATGGAGATGGGTACCCGGGAGCGAATGGCGCATCGATACCGTTCCATCTGAAGTCTCCAGTAAACGGTCTCCCAAATCGTCTCAAAAAGATAGTGGAGGTAACTCAGACAATGATGAGGGTTGGATATATTACGACAGTAAGGTGAGAAGAAATTATTTGTCATTCAGACCTTGCTACGAAACATATGGCTATGGGTGTTATCAACGTCGTTCCTCCTAGTTGCATATATTTATCCTACATGCCTCATTGCTAAATGTTTTACCATAGTGGAGCGATGGCCGTCGTGGCAAAGATGGCTGGGGCCGGTACACAAGACGCCGGAAATGGTGTCGGGATGCCGAACTCGTCGAAATAACTCCCAGCACGGAAAGCACTCCACCACCATCGTCCACCGAAGAACAGGGATCATCGTCTTCCCTGCCACAGACGAACAACTCCAAGGGCGACGATGATATTTCCGATACGGAGGGGAGGACCTCTCCACCATCTGACTCTCGCAAACCCCGCCAACGACGATGGTTCGGCAGCAGCGAGCTGTCAAAAGCCCTAGCGTCCCCTCCCGGCTCCGCATCTAGTTTACCTTTGACAAATAGCGACTCATTGTCAACGGCACTTGCAACAGGCGCAGATTCAGGTACGACGGCGAAGCAGCCGTCGTCGAGCATTCCAAACGTTCGTGCCACCTCCTACAGCAGCTCTTTCCCACGCACATACAGTTTTGACAATGGGGGTAGCGGTAGCAGTAGAAACAGCTTGACCTCCCGTCGGCGCAGCAAAACCAGCAGCGCCATGGTTGATACGGATGGGGAGAGCTTAAGTAAGAGCTTGCGCGATCAGGAAATTGAGGAGGCCGAAAATATGGCGGATCGGTTTGGTAGTCGGCCCGGTGGGGTGGCGGAGAGAGCGGAGAGGGGATGGGGTCTGGGTGATGATGCCCATATGGGGTTAAGCTAAAGCTACCACAGCTGGCGTCTCTTGTTAGTTTGCAGGGATAACTACCCTGTTCCTCTTTTTGTGTTTTTATTTAGATGTATTTTTCACAGTCTTCCTTGTATGGCATATACTTCGCCCACGGCAACCTGGATGGGATGGCATGGCAAGGCATATGGAGGGGCGTCTGATGTACGTTCGGGCATAATTTTTTTTTTTTTTTTTTTTTTCTATTCCAAGCTTCAAGCATACGATTTTTTTTTATTATTATTATTATTTCCCCTCTTTCAAGAGGGGAATGGTTATCAACTTGTATCTGTAAACCCTGTCACACTTGAAAGCGTTTTATGTTTTATGAATTCCTCTTAGAGACCTCAGGTGTATTTCCATTATGGAACAAAATATAAGATGCAAAGACAGCTGTTATTGTACACCATATTATTTAATGTGATATCCGATCTATCTATAACATGTTAGGTTTTCATCAAGTAGTTATCATTGAGCTGGTGAATTATGTCATCATTTTGCTAGCTAACTAACTAGTTAATTAGTTATATGGACATGTCGAGACATCTCTTCAACAACCCAGAAGGAAATAATATAATCCCAACATGGAAAGAAACGCAACCCCCAGCCCCCCCCCCCCCCCCCCCACAACCCCGAGATCGGCCAATCCCATATCTAAAAATGTCCAATGAAATATATATAAATGAGAATAATAAAAAAAATAAAAAAGAAAAAGATAAAAAGAAAAAAATAAAAATAAAAAGAAAGGCACCCTCGGCTAAACCAACTGATCCGCTTCACAATTTAATCGCCTCACACATCATGTTGAAATCCTCCCCATCCACCGCATCCACCCGGTCCCTCACCACCATCTCCACCGCCTCATCCACATCGTCATCCCCACCCAGCAAATCCAACCAACCCCGCGTGTCGCCCCTAGCCAGCAGCCGATCCGCAACAATAGCCACATCCTCCCGACTGACATTGGCCGCCACCCCGCCCTCCAAGTACACCTCCTTCGTCTTCCCCAACTCCACCTTCCACGTCGCAGGCGCATCCATCAGCGCTCCCGGCCTAAGCAGGATGGCCTGGAACCTCTGGTCCCCCTTGCGGCCGAGCTGGTCATCCATCTCTGCCCGCTTGCGCGCCATGACGGTAAAGTACTCGTCCGCCGCTAGCTTTGCCTGGTAGTAATCTGGTAGCACGTCTTGGTTTATGTGCTCGAAGTGCTTCCAGGTTTCTGCGGAGAGCCAGGAGGGCTGCTTGCGTCTGCTGCCGATGTGGGAGATTAGGAGGAATTTGGTGATGGCGGGGTCGTTGAAGGCGGCTGTTATGAAGTGTTTGGCTGCGTCACGGTCGATGGTGTAGGTACGGAGCGGATCGCCTTTGCCGCCAGCGCCTGGATGATTGAATATGTCGGGTTAGCGGACCTTGTAGCTCTTTGGGCCAGTTTAATCAGGAGGTAAAAGTGTCTCTATGAACGAGTGAAGAGCGAATGGGAAAAAAAGAATGATACAATGGAAAAGCATACCAGCTGCCCAGACGATATAATTCGGCTTCACGCGTTCGATTATTGCTTTTGCATCGTCGGCGCTCTTCACGTCGTCGAGGCTGGAAACAGACACTTCGACTCTGCCCTTCTTTCCTTTGCCCAGTTTCAGGATATCTCTGGTCTGCTCTGGGTTGCGAATTGCACTGGTTACATCCCAGGAGCGATCGAGGAGGAGGGGTGTGAGAAAGAGGGCAATTTTACCGTGCCCGCCTAAGAGGAGCACACGGGGGTTCGCCATGTTTGAGATTCTGGTTTCACGGTGGCTTATGTCAATGGCTGTCAGTAACCCCTATGGGCGGAACCTGGTATAATGCGATATCTGGGACGTGTGTTGTTGAAAGGATGGGTGTATATGTGTAGAGCTCAGCCCCGCAAACCCGGTCGTGGATCCTTGACCCAAGTTGTAGAGAGAGAGATGTAAATAAAAAAACAAAACAAATATGCTTCTGGAGCGAGCCAGTTTCGTCGTTATTTCTGGAATTAGATCGGAGGATCTCCTTTTCCGGTTTTGATCTAAGAATGGATATTCCGAGGATTAACTAATTGCTAGCGGCGGGGGGGGGGGGGGGGGGGGGGGGGAGATACATATTATCCCTCTCCGGGGTCCCCTTTTTACCAGAGGGGGTTGAACCGTTTCCCTCAAGGGAAGAGGGGGGGGATCCGGTTGAGTTCAACCAGCGGCAGAAACACAACGGCCAATGAGAGATTACCGTGGCAGAAGAACCGTAGAAGCTCTTTCTTCTTCCACGCTAGTCCTGTTAAGGGATACGCTAGCCTCGTTTAGGACTAGCTCATCCAACCCCCCACGTTGCTCCTTTGTTAATCTTCTTCTCGCTTTGTGTGAAAGAAACTCTCATTAATTTACATTGGAACATATAATGCTCAATTCGTTCTGCGCACTTCTATAATGATACGTGGGCTTTACTTCATTGCGAGTTTGAGGACTGTCCGTGATGACGTCATGGCGTCATGGTGTCATGGCGTCATGGCGTCATAGGAGGGAGACGATGCGGAGTGGGAAATTGTGGTGCGCATGGGGGATTGCTGTGTGGGTTTCTGCACATCTCTATTTTCTCTTTTTTCGGTGCTTGCTTGGTTTATATAGATGTACATCGCTTTAATATAGAATTTAATCAGTGTGCCGTATTCTTGGGAGATATTCCTTGATCAGAGGGATTTTATTTGATCAGTCATTGGTTCCAAGGTGAATCTTCCATTATGCATAATTATCCATGGATAGTTAGGTTTATTCCTGCGATGGTTTGTATCCACTAGTCTCCGTAATTGAGCTCCAAACTGGACCCTTGTCACGTCAAACGCCCCACTAAGGAAAAAAAAAAAAAAAAAAAAAATCTCACATCATGGAAACCAGGCAAGTGTCAACAGAACCTCATTGTATGTACATGCGTTTCTTTGCTCCTCTTTCTGAACCACCTTGTGTGGCACAAATCTAAGATCCAGGGCCGGGAAGCGGTTAAGCTTTCCTTCCAATGGCGATTAGCGAGGGGTTACTAATAATAATAATCGGGAATTGCTTATTAGATCAACTATTCAGATTGCTGATCAATGGATGAAAGGGGATTTCTTCCCAGGAAGAATCGAGATGTCTTCTACAACAAAATATTTGAAATCGTAGTGCTTTTGAGTCATTGGACTGTGGCTTCGCGAAGAGACTTTGGAGATCCCGGTGCCCAAGCGTGAAGATGTAGGGTGAACTTGTCATGAATAGAGAAAATAGTGCTTTTTGAAGGACAAATCGATTTTCACTTTGAGATGGATGTCCTTGAACCCAGGTTGTAGACAGGATGTTTGTATTCTCTCCTTCCGTTACAATCTTTCAGACAGCATTCGCTACGGTCTGTAAAACAGAACAGCCTGACACAAGGAATGGAAGTGAAATGAAAAGTAGTGGATTCAATCTTTTTTAAGAGTCGAAATAAAGCCGTGCTACTGTTCCGTAGCCGTGTAGGTTCCTGACAGGAGATGGTCAATAGATGGTTTGCTTGGGATTTCTCAACATAGATTCCATGACTGAAGCTGCATCGGATGAGAGATGATGTTGTATCAAAGATGAATGTTATCGTGGCGATGAACTGCTCGTAATTTCTTCTTCTTTGCTGTGTAACTCTCTTCCCCGTGAGGCGTGGCTCAGTTTTCTTGGATAAGGCGGCTGGCGGATGTAGATCCCTGATCTGCGGTTCTGTGGGGGAACAACTCGGTTTGATCCCCGGACTCGAGAGGAGTACAGAGTGAGATTCAGGCCCCATGGTCCTGCACAGCTTCCAGTATATTCATAATATATGCCGGCCCAGTTTCTGTAGCCCTTGCACAGGGTGCTTGTTGCATTTCTACTCCGAAAAATACCGTCCCGCTGGTCTAATGTCTGAGTGTTTAACCAACAGGTGCGAAACAAGAAGGAAGATAGATGAAAAACGAAAAGGGCGACAACAAAAGGGTGAATCAATCAATGCAGGACTGAAAGTAGTCAGTTCCTCCTTCACGTTATCCCCACGACTTCTTCATGGGGACATATGAGAAAATATCCGCCCCCGAGTATCATTGTTGTGAAATTAAAAGCGTACACCAACTGTGGAATCGCCGATTCGTTTTCATTCGATGCCATTGGGGCATCCATGAGGCTAAACACAGAGTGTTCTGGCTATTTCAGGCATATAACATAAGCATACTATGACAAGCAAGATGTAACTGCCAAGGGGGGCAATTGCATCATGGCATTCTTGCACTCACCCCGTTGTAGAGGGAAAACTGGAGGAAAGTACTAAGTAGTTCTTCACTAATCACCCATCAGGGTGTGATGGCAAGATAAAACTTTCACACAGCGTCTATATTAACCCGATGGCCATTGGCAATATGGATGAATTTTTCACAAGAAAAATACATCCGCTCCCATAATGTCAGGTCCAAGGAGAAACAGATGAAAAGGGAAAGCGAAGAGAAAACAAGAAATCCGAATCAGACCAAGATTTAGGCAAACCCTTGGATTCTAGCAATATATAAGCTTCGCTTTTTGACCGTTGGCTAACTTGGAAACCTAATTGTACATACAGGAACATGGTTACCTGCTGAAATTGTGAACAAGTGTGACCGCATGCAGCCGTTTCTGCTATGAAGTGGGAGCAAAGGTAGGAAAACCGGGCTTGCCTGGGAGGGCTGTTCTCTTCTCTATTCCCTGCTTAGTTTTTGAACAGGATTTTTGCCAACTTTGGTCTTATTATTTCTTGCTTGTACTATACTCTGTAGTTTTTGCGGGTTTTTCCAAGGGTCCATCAGTTGGTCGGCAGGAAGTTGCGGAAGCGAATCTGATCGTGCATGAGGTTTATCACCAATCCAAGTGCAAAAAGAATAAAGACATCAATTATTCTTCACGGAGCCATTCCATCGATCCATGTCCTCCAACCCCTCCGGAATATGCCATGGAATATTTGTAGGTTTTTGGTGACGATGACAGGCATCACACCAACCAATCCGTGAGAGAGAAAAAGGAGTTACGGGCTTCATGCTCAGGAAGCAGGGAATGAGGGCCCAGAACAATGGCCATGACCAATCCTCTTAATGGCTCACCTGGAATATGAAACTGCAACTCCAGGGTTAGGGGAGTGGCTTTTGAACCCGTCAAATCACTCTTTGGCTAATACTCTTGAGGCTGTGACTGGCTGATTACTGAGCGACGTATCGAAACTCGAAATGATTCCTCCAGAGTCAACGAGTGGACAATTCCGTTTTTCGGCCTGAATCAAAAATAGCGTGGGACCTCCAGGAAAACAGGAAAGCAGGAAAGCAGGTGGGGGAGTTTGACTTTGTTTTGCCCTAAGCCGAAGATACTCTCTTCCATCGCCCGCTGTAATCGAAATCGCGCAAGTTCTTAGAGAGGAGGAATTAATCCGTAAGTCAGCATTAGTTGACTTAAGGTTCTGAACAGGAGATGATGGTTCGTCATTGTAATTTGAGTGGCGATCGAGCGTGAGGTGAGATAAGAAAACTGATCGATCTGACGGCTTTAATTATCCTTGGAAACGGGTGTCAGCGATGATGTTAAGATCCGAACAGGCCCGTAGACTCTGTATGGAAATTACCAGCAAAACCCACCTGCTCAGATACCGTAACGAACTAGTTAGTTCTTAGGGTTGCGTCAGCCCGGGCACGCCGCGGCCCGCTCGTCTGGTACTTTGGAGCGCCAGTCACACACTAACTTTCTTTACCGTACGGAAATACACACTAGCCCCAGAGAGGACTAGCCAGGGGAAGCGGCCTGACCCTCCCAAGGTTCGGCGAAGGTTCTTTTTTCCGTCAGCATCTACGCATCTAGTTGTAGAGAGATGACATCTTCACTTCTTCTTCTTCTTCTTCTTCTTCTTCTTCTTCTTCTTCTTCTTCTTCGGGTTACGCTCAGCCGCGTGTCCATCACTTTCATAACGGAAGCTAGCAGATGTGCTATGGCATGAGACATGGATGCTATAAATATATATGAATAAATGAGTGGGCTGCCGACACACTCTTTATATAGATATAGATATATATCAATAGGGGAACCGCCGTTGATATGCAACTCATTTAATATTAATTGTCTCCTTGGTCGAAAATCTTCAAGGTTGTTGGTTACACCGCGGCTTATCATTCGCACATGTCTGACCAGATACAGACATGAACGGCCCAGGTGTCTGTCTGTCTGGTGTTGGATCTGAGGTCCGATTTGATTGAGCCCTTTTCCCATCGGAGAACAAACTGCAAACACGACGAAGTACTGTTGCTCGACATGAATGAAATCAGTCGCTTCTGTTCTCTCTCGCAATCCATAATCCAGCCTCGATTATGGTCTCACACTGTGCCTGGAGACCGCCACCCCACGATAGGTGGGACGCAGGCAGCCGTGTAAACCCAATGTTTCAACCTCTTTGAAGAGCAGAAATCAGATATCCAACTATTTTATTGAGGAAACGAACTTACTCGTCTGGGGGAGTCGGGAAACATTCATCTGCATATGTTTTGCATTGAGCATGCAGCAATACTAACCGCCAGGGGAAATAAAAAAAAAAAAAAAAATCCAGATGATGAATGCACACCTCCAGTGTTTATGTTTGTCGTTTTGATTCATGCCTAGGCATGAATGGGGGGATCTATCTCTAGACTCAGCGGCACAAAAGCTGCCAAAGCGCCAATGGGGGGGTTCTGTGGAGCAAATTCCATCACTTTCCAACGTATCAACATCCAGGGCTGCCA